TTTCTCATGATTGGACTAGGGTTTTGGTTTTTGGAAGGAAGATCATAGAGGTCAAGTGTCATTGTTATAACATCATATCCTGACTATATATTATCAACATAATCTGTCACCATTGATGTTAGCCTTGATTACTTGGCAATGTTTTTTTTGGGGGGGAGGGGGGACAGAGTCTGACTCTGTCACTCAACATTGGATTGTAGTGGCCTGATCTCAGCTCACTGCAATCTCCGCCTCCCAGGTTCAAGTGATTTTTCTGCCTCAGCCTTCTGAGTATCTGGGACTACAGGCATGCACCACCACGCTCAGCTAACTTTTGTATTTTTAGTAGACAAGTGGTTTTGCCATGTTGGCCAGGCTGGTCTCGAACTCCTGACCTCAGGTGATCCACCTGCCTCGGCCTCACAAAGTGCTGGGATTACAGACATGAGCTGGCCTGGCAATAAAGTTTTATTCACGTGTAAAAGACTATCATTTTTATTATAAGGGAATGCCATTGTAATAATATTATAATGCCATAGACTACTTTCCACAGACCTAGATTCCAGGCCCCTTTCTGCCACTAAATTGCGGTGTGAGTTTGGTTGTTCACTTCAACTCTCTAATCCTCAGAGATTTTGTTGTTGCTAATTTGAATATGTATTATTTTAAAGTATCATGTTTACAGTTACTTTGAAATGCTTTCTAAACAGAGTGTAGTTTTCAGGTTGCAAATTTTGGGGGTCACCCTCCAAGGTGTCCCCAGTGGATAGGGCTGACCATTGTAACCAATAGGCTATTGTGGAGATGATGCTATATGACCTCTGAGGTTAGATGATAAAAGACATTGTGGCTTCCACTTTGTGCTCTCTTTGATCACTCTCCGGGAGAGTCAGCCACTACGTCATGAACAGTCTGGCAGCTCTAGGGAAAGGTACACATAGGAAGGAAATGAGCCTCCTGCCAATACCCAGTACTGACTTCCCCATGGTTGAGTGAGCCATCTTGAAATCATAGGCTCTGGCCCCAGTCAAGCTTTCATATAGAACCACTCAGCTAAGCTTCTCCAAAATTGCTGAATACCAGCAACTGTGTGAAATAAATCTTTTTTTTTTTTTTTTTTTTTTTTTTTGAGACGGAGTTTCGCTCTTTACCCAGGCTGGAGTGCAATGGCGCGATCTCGGCTCACCGCAACCTCCGCCTCCTGGGTTCAGGCAATTCTCCTGCCTCAGCCTCCTAAGTAGCTGGGATTACAGGCACACGCCACCATGCCTAACTAATTTTTTGTATTTTTAGTAGAGACTGAGTTTCACCATTTTGACCAGGATGGTCTTGATCTCTTGACCTCGTGATCCACCCGCCTCGGCCTCCCAAAGTGCTGGGATTACAGGCTTGAGCCACCACGCCCGGCCGAAATAAATCTTTATAGTTGATAAAAACAAACAAAAAGCAGGACATTAGATTTCAAGACTTTGAAACTGTTCCAGCATCATCATGGGTGGAGGGGAAGGTGGGAAGGGGTGCTGCTGGCTTGGGCCCCAGATTCCTCCCCCACTGAAACCACAGTAGCTCCGCCTGTATCTGGGTTACATATTGAGGATCCAGGCAGAAGTTCTTTTGAAGAATGGAGTCTGCTGCCAAAAACAAATTTGAATGCTCTGGCTTAGAGAAACAATGGATTATTAGATGACGTCTGCAGTCTTTTCTGTCTCTAGCACTCTGATTCTACTTATTGGTATGAAACAAGTAACTTACCAGCCCATGGACAGCATTTTCTTCAGGACTCACTCTTCTGGCCATGAAATACAATCCTAGGAGTAGGGAATAAAAACTGTGTGCTGCTCACTGGTGTGTCAGGAGAATCCCTTCCTTTGCGTGAGGATGGAGTGCTGTTCCCGGAGAGAAAAAAGCACCTCTCAGGGCTTAGCTCTACCCGCTGGGGGCACCACCTTTGTAAGCCTTAAGGGACTGGATAGGTTTGCTTCTCTTGTCAACATTTGATTATAAAGATATTAACAGCTGGGTGTGGTGGCTCATGCCTGTAATCCCACTTTGGGAGGCTGAGGTGGGTGGATCACCTGAGGTCCGAAGTTCAAGAGCAGCCTGGTCAACATGGAGAAACCCCATCTCTACTTAAAAAAATAAAAATACAAATACAAAACTTAGCCAGGCATGGTGGCACACGGCTGTAGTCCCAGCTACTCAGGAGGCTGAGACAGGAGAATCACTTGAACCCAGGAGGCAGAACTGGCAGTGAGCCGAGATCATGCCAATGCACTCCAGCATGGGCGACAAGAGTGAAACGCCATCTCAAAAAAAGAGACATTAATTTCAACAATAATGGCTAGCATGTTTTGAGTGCTGTTGGGATAGGGGGTTTTCATTATCTCATGCAATCTTCATGATGAGGCAGGCATTTTGTAGGTTGAAGAAATGAAGGCCAATAGATTGAATCAGAGGTAGAACTGCAATCTAAAGTCTATAGTCACAGAACCCTCAGCCAACATTCGGTGAATTCTGGGCCAGGATCAGAACTGAACAGCTAGCATTTGGGCTTAATATATCCTGATTTCACAACTTGGGGGGTTTTAATAGGCATTATAAGAAAAACGCTTTGTTCACTCCCTCACTCACTCATGCAACTGAACATTACTGACTCCTGTGCTCAAGTGCTGTTCTAGAAACTGGATAGAAGGGTGTGGAAAACAGAAGCTGGCACCTCAGGCTACACTGGGATTCGGGGCTGGAAGAGGACCTGAGGAGCCATCAGCTGCTTACGCTGCCTTCAAGGGACAGAAAGGCTTGGTATAACCTAGGGGACTGGATCCTACAGAGCCATGAACTCCCAGAACGCCCCTCCAGAGAAGCCTTCCTGGGTTGAATCCAATACTGACTGTGCTTATCCTAGCTGGGCACTCTCTCAAGGTCCTGCAAATGAGCCCCATGATAAGCCATGATAGCACCAAGGACATCACACTGCAGTGGTTTCTGCAATTTTATCAACATAAATGACGTAGTGTTGAGAAACCTTGCTCTTTGAAGTCAGACTCTATAAAACAATGCTATTTGAAATCAAGTCTTCAGAGGCACTGTTCAGAGATTTTTCAGTGCAGATCTTACTTGCCCGTGTGATTTAATACTTAGTTACGTCTTTCCATTGGTCTCATTACGTTAACAATTCTGCTCTTTGGCTGGAACATTACTTTGGTGAAACCCCACTGTTTCATGAATGTACGCTGTGCCCCCAACTACACAGGGGCAAAGGTCCTCAGAGACGGGGCCAGCACCATTGTTCTGTAACTGCCACTGACTTTGCCCTCTGAAGGGTGACTTCATCGTGATGAGTCCTCCAGAGTCCCGAGGCTGGCCTGGAGTCTGCCCAGGAAGGTGCAGGGGTTTTGATTCCACAAGGGGAAGGAAGAAAGGAGCTCTCCACTGGCGAATGAAGCAGCACCTCTCTCGATCCATGGACCTTCTTGCATCCATCCGCTCCTTGGATGAACTGTTAGTGGAATGAAGCTGGTCCCACTGAGCTCCACAGCCTCACCTTCTGCTTCCTAAGCCACATTTTTCGGCATACAGCAACAGGCCTTACCTGAGCCTGAGCCACTGACTGCTTAGAATATGACTGGGGCTTCAAAATGCAGAACCACCTGTTCTGTCATTTGCGGCACACCTTCTCTTCCTCCACTGCAGGCAAGGCTCCTAAGGGGCAGTCCTTTGATAAAATCTGAGGGTTCTGCTACAAAGTAGGGAGGGTGGTTGCACAGCTTGCCTTTTCTCTTGTTTATGCTCCCGGGCTGAGTCTCAAATTGCTGTGCTATAATGGTCTATCCTAAGCAGAGATCTAGAAGGCAGGTAACAGATTTAAAAAGTCTTACCAGTGACTACCTTAAAGTTTTTCCACTGTTGAAGCCAACTGGAGAAACAGGAGTGGCAATCAGGTCAGATGATTTGACGTGACTGCTGTAACAAAACTAAAATCCACTCTTAATCATCAGAGGGCGACGTAAGAGGTCTGCAGTTTAAGTTGGGATAAGGTATGACCTGCCTACTCCAGCGGGGCAACCTGGACCACTGGGATCGGCAGATGCCAAGAGGGGCCCAGGCTCGAGGCTGCCAGGTAGTGAGGGTAGCCTGTGCAGTGGGGCTCTGTGTTCTCCACTGGGCTCAACCCCACTGCTGAGGGGGTAGGTGCGCCCCTTCATCCCTGGGTGAGGACCAGGAATCTCTGCTGCCCAATTAACTATACCTTTAGAGATGCATTTTAAACACAGATCACCTGCAAAGCAGTTAATGTGACTTGATCATGGGGGGCCTAAGTATCCAATAAAGAAGGCCGGCCACTAAACCACCTCACTTGATGGACTTTCAAGTCAGCACTTGTCCATTCCACTCCTTTCTTGGCCTTTGTCAATTTAACTCTCGATAAAGAAATGATAACAAAAGCAACAGCAGTTGGCCTCCAAGCCTTTAACTTCTGTAACTCTATTTAAAGCATTCATCCTTATCCAACTAGAAGCCATTTATTTATGCTTTTCTTCCCTCTCATCTAGACAACAGGCTTCAGGAAAGCAGTTTCTCTAAAGTTGTGCTGTTTAATCAACATTGACTTTGGCCTTCACACATAGGAGGAGGAACCAAGGGATCCGTGAAATCGAACCCAGGCTTACCCTAAAGCTGTGGCTCAGCCTTGGCTGCACACTGGATTCACTGAAGAGCCTGTACACTCCTGCTGTCCTGGCCACAACCCAATCAGATCAGCCTCCAGGTCCGGGCATCACCAGCCTTTAAAGCCCCCCAGGGTGACTCAGTGTGCAGCCAGGATGAGACCCACAGCCCTAAAGCTAAACGGGTAAAGTGCTGGGGTGATGGACCCCCAACTTGTAGTTAAGGACCTGTAGAAAAGCCAAGTCCTAACTCCTTTTGTATCACTGACTGGCCTGCTGGATGGGTATCTGGAGAGTGATGGTTGAAGGGAGATGGAAGGTTGCTATTGTTTTTTTAAAAAAACCCAAACAGCCTCAAACTCACAAAAGCACTTTTTATTTGAGGCAAAGAGAAGTCTTGCTTAGAGGGTTACAGTTCCAAGCAGTCAAAACTCAGCTGTTAGTGGCACCATTTTGACCTGGCAGGTTTTGCTTCTCTTTGGTCAGAAAAGGGTATTCAGGTTATACTTTCCCCAGTGGGGCAAAAAGAAGGGCCAAGCAAACTGGAAGGGACTTCTACTCTACTGACAGGCCTCGTCAGAGCCAACAGCAAGCTAGCCACGCTCTCGCTGGCTACTCTGTAAGCTGCTGTCCTGCTGCGGAGTGACACAGGCTATACTACATTTGCAAGGGAAAAAAATGAGGCAGGAAACACAGATACAGGTCACTTATGGACGAGCAGGCATCCACAGCTTCAAAACTCTTCATGGAAGGGGTAATCCTTGTGGGAGATACAGCTGTCAGGAGAAAAGAGAAAACAGTTGCTTTTCGAAGAGGTGATTTTGACTCTATCCAACTCCCAATAGAGAAATGACGTTGTCTCACTGAAGAAAGAAAATAGAACCTCAGAGGCAAAAAGCTAGTTCTGACTCTGCAGATCACGGTTTTGCAGCTGGGGGGAAGGAACTAACCCGCCAGACCCCTCTACCGCTACAGTCACCAAGCAGCACATGCATGAGGGACACCACCCTCCCCACACGCCCAGCACTGTGCCTGGGGTGGCACAGTGCAGGATGGCAACACGATTTCTGCCTCCCAGTAACTCAGTCTAGCTGGCAGGACCAGACAGCATCTTACAGTCTTAAACAGTAAGAGGGTGTAATAATATGAGAAGGTAGGCCAGGCACAGTGGCTCACGCCTGTAATCCCAGTGTTTCAGGAGGCTGAAGCGAGAGGATCACTTGAGACTAGGGGTTTGGGACCAGCCTGGGCAACACAGCAAGATTTCCATCTTTATAAAAAAATTTTAAAAATTAACCAGGCATGGTGGTACATGCCTCTATCCCCAACTACTTGGGAGGCTGAGATGGGAGGATCGTCTGAGCCCAGGAGGTCAAGGCTGCAGTGAGCCGTGATCATGTCATTGCATTCCAGCCTGGGTGACAGAGTAAAAGCCCATCTCAAAAAAAAAAAAAAAAAAAAAAGACAGATGTTAAAAGTCAGTATGTGACTCAATCTCAAAGGATAAGAGAAGCAATGGCAAGTGCTCTGAGGACAGAGGGAGCCTCCTTGTATCAGGGGCTGGAGTGAGTTCAATCAACGGTCGGAGATTTGATATTCGCAACAGCGCAGGGAGCACAGGTGCGGGTGTCTGCCAAGGCTCACTCACCGTCCATCCAGCAGGGCCGGCGGCTGTGATGGCAACATAACGGCAGGAATGCCAGACAGATGGCTGGGCAGGGAGTGCAAGGCCAGAGTTATGTACTCTAAGCTGGGTGCTTAGATTCTGTAGCTCTTAAAGCCATTCAAAAGCTCTCCATGGTCTGCCTTTTTTGTGTACCCAAGGACAGTGACACTGACATCAGCAAGTCAGGCTCAATAAAGCATTATCTGCCACAGGGAGGGGTGGCATGTGTGTAGTTAGAGAAAACTCCCTAGGAGACCTGGGCATGTCAGGGTTAGCCTCTTCCTCCCACTCACCACTATGCAACAGGATAATCAAACGGAGGTTTCTAGAACAGTGCTGGAGGGCAGAGGAGTCTAACCGTAAAGGGAGCAATGAGAAAACCACCGTGGTTCCTCAGCCCTGAGAGCTTCAGTCCACTGTCTGAAGCGGGAGGGGAAAGGAAGACGGATAAATGGACAGATTCTGAACGAAGAACGAATGTAACTTGGTGACTGATTCTTTTCTTCCTTGTCCACTAGATCCAAAATTGATTTTCATGTCTAAGGTTAAGCGCCATTCACAGAGATATCTGAAAGGGCGCTGGCCTGGGCTGCCTGTGACATGCTCTGTTTGTGGCCTATTTTGACTGAGGCCGCAGTGTGGCAGCAGCAGCAGGCTTGTCAGGCACACGCATGCCTGATGCAGGGCAGTTACCGTCCACAAGGCAGACTTGGCAAACACCTGCCTGGGGTGGTGGCTGAAGCCCCCAGCAGTGCAAACTCCGGGGAGGGAAGGGACAGGCACTGGAAAGCTGGCAGCCCACCCATCTTAGGGAATGTTCCAATTTTGCTTAGAAGAGGAAGTACTAAAGGAGAGAGTGTGAAAACAGAGCGCTCAGACGAGAATAAGGGTAGTGAGAGAAAAGAAGGGTCTTAGTCTCCAGTGCAAAATGAGAAGTTCCTTCTTTCAACCAGAAAGTGACTTACAAGCATCATCTAATTATTGTAATGGTAGGAAAAGAGAGAGAAAAAAACCCACAGAAAACCTTCCTCGGCAGCTCCTTCAGATTCCAAACTACCATGCAGAGGAAATAGAACCAGAGAATGTGTGGCTGGAGCACGAGGTGCCTGCTGCTCAGAGGGCCTGTCTCGCAGCCATGTGGCTTACCAGGGTCAGAGCTGGGACTGTCTTGAACCCCAGCACCAGGGGCTTCCTACCAAACCCCTTTCATGAGGGTCACTGAGACAAAAAGTCACAGGCAAATTCTTCCAGAGTTTGATCCAGGGTCACCTGGTTTCAGATGAACCACTAGGATTCAAAAATTAAATGCCTAAACACGTAATTACTTCAGGTCAGGCCGTCAGTGCCCCTGGGTGGGAAGAAGATACCAAGAGCGGATCTCCTGGCATCTTCAGCCAATGCAGGTCATGTGGATGAGAAAGCAAGGTAACATGCAAAGCCAGAACAGCAGCGACAGGAGGACACGGACGCCGAAGCCTGCGGGGATCACTCTTTGGCTCTGCAGCATCTGAGGATCTCCTGGGAACTGCTTCTCACGCTGGGGCTCACTCACCTCACCAAGGCACAGACTCTCCAGTTCCTGTTGTAGCCGAGTAAGGTGGTCATATCCTGGCTGCTCAGTTCAAAGTCAAAGACCTAAAAAACAAGCAAAAATCCAGTAAGCTCTGCAAATAAAAACAAAAGACAGAATACCGCACAGGACCCAGGAGATGCTTTCCCTGGCTTTGAGCAGAGAGGAGCGCTAAGACAAACCGAACTTAGAAAAAGCTGAAATATCCATGTTGGGCTAGATAATATATGGCACGATGGAAACAGTCCTTCCTTTCCAGAGCCTCCCGGCAAAATGACACATTTTATCTCATTTCAACAAACACTACTGAGCACTTCCGTTGTGATAAGCTGCAGTAAAGAATATAACGATGGGTAAGCTGTGCCTTTGCCTGTTTACCAAGCAAAGGGCAGAGGTATATCTACAGCTGTAACGCAATTAACTAATCACACACTGTATAAGACGCTGAACAGAGCACAGGAAGGGGAGAGGCATTCCAAATGGATCCCAGCTGAGGAACTGAACAACCACAGCCAAAGAGATGGTATCTGACATGGCCTAAGAAGTGTAAAGTTTTGAAAGAGAGGGCAAGAAAGGTAAAGTGGGAGAAGAGAACCACCTGCATGAAGGCAGCAGATGGCACAGAACTCAGCTGGAATGGAGGCTGGGAGGGAGGCAGGCAGGCAGGCAGCATTGGGTGAGACCCACGAGAGGGTGACACACACTCCCAGGGCCGAAGGGCTCTCAGCTTCAGATGATTCCAGAATATGCAGAAAGAGAGTCTACTATAGGCTCTGTGATTACGATCACACAAAAATGTGCAAAGACTACACAGTAAGATGCAAAAATGAAATAACTGGGTTGGCATTTTGAGATTAATCATTTATATTTTTTTCTAATTCCTTAAAAAGTGAAATATGAAACAAAGGACGTGCCTCTGATGGGATGTGCCTTTCCCTCAGTGGCCACTGTTCTGCCACTTTATCTTCTGTGCTCAGAACATCCACCTGTGCGTAAGGAAAACGTCTCCTCTACTAAACAATGCGCTCTGCTCCCCTCTTCAGGGATCACTCCATCCCTGTCTCATATGTGACAGGTGGCATGCATTACGGCCACAACCTCCGGGCAGTGGAACTGGGCAAAATCAGCCGCTTGCTGTGGAAACAGAGCCGTCCTGCACCGGAGCTGGGGCCTGCCCAAGAGCCCCGTGCCCATGGCTGTGAGGCATCTGGCACAGATCTTGGATAAAGATGGAGCATCCCTGGCAGAGCCGCTTTGCTCAGTGAGGACAGAGGCTCTCGGGCCATCAGGACTCCCCTGAGCTGCCCTCCTTCCGGCGTGGCTCCCTCTCAATGCTGCAAGGGCGGGTGGGGAGGGAGGTGGCACTAGGTATCCTGAGCTGCTCTGGCTGCCACACTGAGCACTTCACCGGTGCCCTGACACAGGTCTGGGCTCTGCCCATCATCACACGAACTCCTTGCAGAGCTGGTGAGTGGGCTAAGTGGCCCAGACGGTCCTCTGCAGCCCCTGGACTTAGCCCAGCAACATTTCTTGATCACTTACTAAGGTATTAAGCACCATGTGAAGCACTTTGATGCATCATTCAATCTTCTTAACAACCCTCAAAATGGGTATTATTTTATAGACAGGAAAACTGAGGCACAGAGCAGTTACATGACTTGCTCAAGATCATGCAGCTGGTAACTGACAGAACTCCAGTGCAGGGCAGGTCCAGGCAGGGTCACCCATGAGCCAGATATTCTCCGGGAGATGTCTCGGTGTGGCTGAAGGGCCTGAGCAAAGGTGTAGGTGTGCACATGCCCAGCACTGGGCCCCGGAGGCACAAGGACTGCCCCGCACACTGCTCCACCCATGAGGTGCCCATCTCAATCCACGGCTTGCTCGCCACAGCTCCCTGGCCTCAGAGGACAGGATGGTGGGGATCCCACAGATGACACTCCAGGGACAGGATGAGAGGCCTTCCGTACCCGCTACTCCACTGAGGAGGCCCAGGCCCGACCAGCCAAGATCGTACCTTAAAGTTCTCAGCAATGCGTTCTGGTGTCACAGACTTGGGGATCACCACCAAGTTCCTCTGCATGGGGAACCGGATCAGCACCTGTGAGCCCAGGGAGACGATGAGTGTGTGCGCACGCCAGGCGCTCGCACCATCATCCCAGTCCCTCACACACACAACCCACGGGACATGTTAGAACTCCAAGGGTGAGAAGAGAGAGGCCCTGAGATGTAAGGGCACAGCTAGCAACAGGTAGGCGTCACAATGAGGTCCAGATCTGACTCCAGAGTCCTGCGCTAGCCACAGATTTCAGTGTCTCGGGCAATCATGAGACCACAGTGAGGCCCTCCACTGGCTAGGAACGCATACTACCGCTCAGGAGAAAGAACATTCCCTGCACGACTGATAAGAGCTTTCACACTTGTACGGAGATGAGCTTCCACGTCAATGAACAAGTGCTGTTTTTCACGGCAGTCACCCTCGGGGTGGTGGGGGCAGGCACTATTACTCTAAGAGCCCATGGCAGGGTCTTCTAAAGCCCCCATCTGTGCCCTTTCTACTCTGCACTTGAGGACCCCAAACCTCCCTTCCTGTGAGGGTGTAACGGGGCTCAGTCACTTCTCCCTCTTGGCTAATGGGACCATCAGGAATGCAGGGAGTTCTAGACAGTCACAACACCTGAAGTGGCTGTACCTGGGCTGTAGTTTTATTGTGCTTGTCTGCGATCGCCTTGATCCTGGGATCCTCCAGGAGGGAAGGGTCCTCGGGCTTGGCCCTGAGGATAGAAAGGCGGTCCAGGTCACACCACCATGGCCGCCACTCACGGCAGCCAGAAACCCCAATCCTAATCCTCTCACTGACCTCAGAGGGTAGCCACCAGCCTCCTCCTCAGAGCTGGGTTAAGAACCCACAACCCTTCGGAAAAAGAGTAGGTGTCCTACTGCAAACTCCAACCTTTTGAGGAAAACCAGCAAGAGGCTTTGCAGGTCAGCCCCAGAAACATCTTCCTTGAGGCTGAATTGTTCTATTTAGTCATTTCTAATCTTCCCCAAGAGACACTGGAGCATGAGGCTGTGGGAAGCTCACCAGGGCCTGTCGGGAGAGCCGAGGGGGCTGTAGGCGGTCACCACGATGCCTTTGGACTGGCAGTACTGGATTAACTTCTCCTGAGTGAGGTATGGGTGGCACTCAATCTGCAAATGCAAACACAAGAGCTGATGAGAGCACTGCATGCTGATGTGACACAGACAAAGGTTCCTATGCTAAAGTCCCTCCTCAACCCACAGAGAACTCTCTATATAACACACACCCTATTTCCCAGATAAGCTGTAACAACTTCCTAGAGTTCCCAGGTAGTATCCTTGATATTATTCTATTATTACTATCATCTTATTATAGATGTTTTCATGGGCCCTAGAGGCTTTTCCTGGCTTTAGCCACTTAGCACAGGTCTGAGGATCTCAATGGCTGCCTCTTCATCTGTCAGACCCCAAATCGTCACAAGCCAGGCTCAAACCCTTTCTCTCCTGTTAAGTTTCCTCTCCCAGATGTGCTGTGTCATGCTGAATCATAACTCAGACTGCCAATGCCCAGGAGCCGCCTCCTGGCCACTCGCTGGGTGAGGTGGACGAGAAGTCCCTATCAGCATGGGACAGTAAAACAGCATTGCTGCAGTGCTGGTGTCCCTGGGGGATGGTTACCTGGTTAACTGCAGGCTTATACTTTAAGCCAGGTTTGTTTAAGATCCTTTCCACCTGGAGATGGTTGAAGTTGGAGATGCCAATAGCTTTCACCAGCCCTTCATCCACCAGCTCTTCCATGGCCTACAGAGAAAAGAGTGTCTGTGTGGTGCAGAAACGAGCCCAGGAAGGGCAGGATCAGAAATGTCTTTTGAGCCAGTTTAACAGGTCCTGCTCTCACTCCTCAGTGCCCACGAATTAGACCTTTCAGAAGCCAAGAGAGAGTGAGACGAAAGCCAGGCTGGCTTCAATGAGATAAGAGCAAACAACAGTGACAGAATAACAAAATGCAATGTGAGGAATGACAGGCAAATTGCTGGTAAGGAGAACAGGAAACCAGTCATGAAAGCAAGGTCTGACCAGGGACTGCCTTACCGCCCACGTGTCCAGAATGTTGGTGTCACTGGGAATCACGTTGCCCGACTCATCCAATGGGAAAAATTCCTTCCCAGGCTGTCATTACAATAAAAAACAAACGAACAAAACGATCAGTAATTGTCCTCCACAGACCTGGAGGGGGAAGCTGGCCTCTAAAACAATTCTAAACCATCACAGGTGGCTAGGGTCAATCTGTGTGCCCGTATGAAAAGGTGATAGGCGGAGAGCCAACACTATCAAACGGGCTGGAGCTGAGACTGTCAGATGGAGACATAGACACTACTTGGCCACAGACATTAGCTCTGCCACTGACTGCAATGTGATGGACACAGGAAGGACTCACGGGTACCCAAGGCCTGGAGGGTCACTGGCCTATAAAACTACCACCTGGCCTGGCCCAGCCTCCCCAGCTTAGCCCTAAAAATCAAAAGATAAAAGTCAAGTCCCTTCAGCCCTGACAAGCTGTGGTGCAATAAAACAGGGCTATAAGATAAAGCTAAACCCACACTTTGGACCTGGCTGACAGCAGAAAACTGAGGCAGTGGCTAAAAAAAAGACAAAAGACGTAGTAACTCTCAAGTTCTTCTTGTGCAAAGAACCAGACTGCCAACAAATATTTACCAGGCTGCCACAGGAGAGCATATGTGTGCAGAATGTGGGTAGGGACTCGTGTGGGGGGGGTATGTGTGCACGTGCCTGGAGGGGAGCGCCAGGGCTGACCATGCCCCATGGTACACTACAGACAGTAGCCATGTTTGCTGACACCGTTTTAAACTACACAACTACCGACTGACAAAAGAGCAGTGCTCCTCCAACTTGGAAGAAGTGTCCCTGTGAGTCACCAGTGGTACGGATTCAAATGGCCTGGGTGGGGCATGAGACTGAGACCTTCTAAGAAGGTCCCAGGTGACGGCAGTGCTGCTGGTCCACTGGTTATACCTTGAGCAGCAAGAACAGAAAGTCACCCACATATCATCTGCTAAGGGAGCTCAAAACAGCACAGGTTGCGCCAAGGGACCTGGTCTACACCAGGCATTCCATACCTTAAAGCCAGTTGGCCAGTGAATAAGGTAGAGGTCCAGGTAGTCCAGCTTCAGGTCGCTGAGCGTCTTCAGGCAGGCTCCTTTCACCAGGCCCTTCTCATGGTACGTGCACCACAGCTAAAGCCAGTGAGAGAGCACATGTCATCTTTGCCAGCCACAAGGTGGCTTCCTGGCTGGGAAGACAGAGCAGTCTCCTCTCCCCAAAACCCATTTGTTTCACCACGATGCTGTGAATGCTTGTGAGGGCATTTCCATTGTGTACTGGATCCTAACTTTCCGAAAGCAGGCAGGATTGACCAGGTCACAAAGACCTCTCCCAAGGACCAAAAAGAGGACACAAAATGGAATGGACAGATTGGCCAGCCCGCTCTAGGCCTAAGCATGAACTCTCAGGGCAACTTTCCCCCCGGGCTAGTGTTTCTGGAGCCAGCCCCATCCTCCTGCCCCACGTCCTTTGAGCATCAGTATCTCAGGTCAAAGACAGTGGCCGGCAGTGGAGATTCAGTTTGCAGATGGGAACCAAGTTCCATCCTTGAAAGCAACTCCCTGGAGAGAGAGGGCCAACCCACAACCTCAACCTCATCAGCACGGGGCTCTAAGCAATAGGCCCAGACGGAATGACCGTCTAACAGAGAGCCAAGGATGGGCAAGCTCTGGAGCCCTGTATGGCCCTGGGTTGACACGTTTCCCCTGGAAGAATCGCCTGTCAGTGAAAACTGTAGCTGTGCTGAGTGTGGACTTGGCTTCAGGCTGATGCACCAACGGACGATGGGGCCGAGAGCCCCTGCCAGCCCCACCGTGGAATAATACCTTGCTGACGATGAAGAGCTCCTCACGCTTCACCACCTGCTCCCTGAGCTTCTCCTGAATGGCTATCCCCACCTCATTCTCATTGTGGTACACGTGGGCACAGTCGATGTGGCGGTACCCAACGTCGATGGCCACCTTCACAGCCTCGGTCACCTGGCCTGGAGGGGACTGAAAGGATAAGGAACGTGAACCCTACAGAACACAGTTTGCGCAGCAGGGAGGAGGAGGGGCGGTGGCAGCCACTGATCCTTGCTGACCAGCCTGTCTCTTTGTTCAACAAAGACAGACCAGGGTGTGCTTCCGCAGCAGCATTCTGGACTACCAACCTCTGACGCGGGGGATCGAGGTGAAAGGCCACAGTACTGCCCTGTAGAATCTGACAGCCACTTAAGCGCAGGTCAGATCACTTTTAAAAGATATGCTAAAGCCATCTCATTTCCTTGCTTCTTCACATCCACTGATTTGCAAACCACTGTGTTAAAAACATTTCCCCACTCTCTGAATGCTGAGATAGTAAGGGAAGCCATTTCCTTTAAATATCTCAACACAGTTCGAAAACAGCTGCCCTATGAACCCCAATTCCCATCTGGCTCCCCAGTTCAGCCAGCGAATGCCTGCCCCTTATGTTCTCTTTTCATGCATGGCTTCCAGTACTGGCAATTGCTTGTTTTTAAGCATTCTGGGAGATTATCATGAAGTCAGGAACATCACTGATGTTGCTTCAAAGGTCCATGTGTCCACTCTCACTGTAAGAGGATCTGTTTCGAAAGATGGGGAAAGGGGAGATGGCCCTCAGAGATATTAGCAGACAGAAATTAGTTAAAGGGGAACGGGGCCGGTGGGCAATGCAGATCATGGAAGATCATCAAATGGTTAGTGGTCGGCCCGGCAAAATGACTGAATGGGTGTCCATGGCCAAGCCACCGGACCATCTGAGTGACCAGAACAGCTGAGGGAAGCCTGGCTACTGAGGAGGAGGAGGAGGAAGTGCCTGCATGGCATCACGCTTCACTGGCACCCAGACAGACTGCATGGACACATATCCCCAACTTCCACTATCCTACTACGATCACAGAGCTGAGCAATAAACATGTGCAGTGGACTGCTGACTGAACAGAACGCATTCCTTTGGAGAGCTGGGGTAGAAACAAATGAAAGGAAAACTCCCCCAGGGCCACAGCAGCTGCAGACATCTGTGTTTTGACATCAGCTATTTTCAACAGGCGTTGGGAAGAAAAGGGCCCAGCTGAACAAGCCCATGACCACAGCCTGTTAGCATGGAGCGCACTCCCCACCTCAGAGGGGCCAGCCAGGCAGGATGGGGAGGCTAATCAAAGCTGTGGGTTAAGACTGGGCCTTCAGAGGACCTGGAGACCTATTTCCCCGGAGGACCTCAAAAGCTGCCCTTGCAGCCTTCCCCACTCTGCACAGTTTAAGGAACAGAGCAGATGATCACAGAATATACAGAAGAATGCCTTACCAGAGGTTCTGAGTGGTGTCCAGGGATAGCCACCGCTGATGAGAGCAGGGAGAGCAGAGGACATCTGCCCCCCGCAGAGAGAACTGGCGCCCACACGGCAAACTGCCCAGGACACACTGAACGTTCTCCAGGCTTAATGGCACCTTGACTGGTTTTTCTCTGAGGAGCTGCTGCTGCATATACTATACTGTGCCTGCCCGGCCCCTCAAAGCCTGGGACAGAGGGGAGGGCACACTCCACAGGCTTGGCCTAGTCACGCACCACCTGCCACATGATTGGTGCAGGGGCAGGTACATGACTCAACTCAGGCCATGAAACTCCATTTTTGCACCTGAATTGGAGCCACTGAGACCAGCCCTGGTTCTGCTGGGGTCACTGAGCTAGGAGAATGCGAGCCCAGAGCTGTTGGAGGGACGCAGAGGGAGGCTGAATCCTGGTGACATCATTCAGAACCATGAATCTCAGACACCTGACATGAGCAGCTGTTGCAATGAATCCCCGCCCCAAACATCTTATCTTTTCTGCTTAAGATTAAAGTGGTTTTTCAGTTATCTGGAACCAAAAGAGCACACACTTGGAAAATCAAGGTTGCCAAACAGTTGGCACGAAATGAAAAAAAGTTGTGTAATATTTTCAGAGAAAGTAAAGGACAGCAATGACTGCAAGAGGTCATGAAGAAGCTGCTACTGATTTCTCCTCGGATAATGTGCTGATTGGCTGGAAACATGCTGGAGACATGCGTGCTGGGAGGCTGATCAAAGCGCTCCAGAGAAAAAGAAAAAGTCACCTCTGCAATGAAAATGTACGAGGATCCACAACCACATTCAATGCTAATTATCTCAATGCAGAGCCCTTCCCTGAGAGAGACTAATTTGCCTTATGAAAAACGGAGCAGCCAACTTAAGCTCTGGTTTAGAAACCATTCACTAAACTTGGGAATGCCAATGCGTGACAGTATCTCCCCATTCCATGTCACCGAGAGAAAATGCCAACAGAGGGAGGGGTCCAGACTGAGACTCCTCAAAAGAAGGTAACTATGAAAACATACTGAGTGTGTCCAGGCACACCCATCACTATGAGAGCTATAGAAACACAATATATGAAACACTGAAATTACAACCCCATCATATAAATCCTACATGTTTCTAACTCGATCCTGCCACTAATCTGCCCTTGATGGGCAAAGCCACGCATGCCCATTTCCCCTAGAACTCTGGCCCTGCAAAGCTCATTGGGTAGTGATTTTGCAACGCTCTGGGCTGACAGCACCAAGTGATGGCAGTGAGAAGCCTCTGCCCTTGAGTTCTGTACCCCCTCTTCAAGACAGGGTCCTACTTCCTCCTTTGATAACACCAGCCCGCTAACACCAACTGTGAGACATTGATAACGAAAATCAGTGTCTCTCTCCTACACAGACACACACAACACCCCTTTTAAAACCTAATCCTCTTCCCTTTTGCTTACAGGTCTTGCTAGTTACTTCAAGACATCCCTCCCTCTCTTCCCTCTGCAAGTCAAAAAGCAAGCCATGGCTCCAGACAGGAAGACAAAGGTCAGCGTTCATGATAAAGCCGAAGTATCTCAGAGACTGAATACTTTGCAATATATGAACCACGGGGATCTCTGGGAAGAGGGAACTCTTTTTTCTTTTTCTTTTTTTTTTTTTTTTTTTTGAGACAGAGTCTTGCTCTGTCACCAGGCTGGAGTGCAGTGGCGCAATCTTGGCTCACTGCAACCTCTGTCTCCTGGGTTCAAGCGATTCTCCTGCCTCAGCCTCCCAAGTAGCTGGGACCACAGGCGCATGCCATCACACCCAGCTAATTTTTGTATTTTTAGTAGAGACGGGGTTTCACCATGTTGGCCAGGAAGGTCTCGATCTCTTGACCTCGTGATTGGCCCGCCTTGGCCTCCCAAAGTGCTGAGATTACAGGTGTGAGTCACTGCGCCTGGCCGGAATTCTTCTTGTTGTACTTCTTTGAAATGTTCTCTAGTTAGCAGGTGTTACTACTGAAATGAAAGGGTGGAGGGAAAGGAAACTTCACTTTGAGAAAAGGAACTGTCCTGGGTAGGAAGCATGAGAATAGTGTGCTGGCGATAGTCCTGGAGCAAAGAACAGGAAACCATCACTCGGAATCAGGTTTAGCAACCGAGATTAACTTCCTCTTGTTCTATTGAAATCAATTTGTCCCAAATTCCAAAGCACTGCTGTTTCTAACTACTTGAGATGTGGATGGACCAGGACTGCCCCTGCAGGGGCAGGACTTATTTAAATGTCTTAGGTCTTGAAGAGGAGGAGATGGGGGCTTTAGAGAGACCAGGGAAGTGAACAGTAAACCCGGCTCCTGTGTTACCTCCCTGCCCGCAGAGCCTCAACCCTCACCCCATCCAAGGATCTTGGGCCATCACAAGCCTGTCCCACCTGGGAAGGTGGAGCAAGTCTTTCTCGGCACATTTTCTTCTACCTCACGCGTTCTCAACATGGATGCTAGTGTCCCCAAAGAGACAAAAATTAGTTCTTCCGGGCCAAAAAACCCTTTGCTTACAGAATGGCCTGTGACCCTCTAGGCGGCTACTGGCCATAAGCAGAAGTACAATATTATCCGTGATATTACACTTTTATTGTGGGGCCAATTAGGGGAAAAAAATCACACAAGGCTCCTAGGTGGGAAGGAGGCAGTGATCATGGCAAAAAGATGCAGAAACACAGTTGTACCTCCAGCCCTAGGAGTATTCTGTGAGTGTACACAGGAGACTTACAATGACTATTTACTTCCAACAATTTTCAACTAGATTAAAAACATTATCAGTAACAAGACACTGGCTGGCACCAGATGTCATCTCTGTTTTAAAGGCTTCCTGGCTTTACAGTGCTACGATGGGCTTGTTTTCTTTTGTTGTTGTTTGTTTTTGAGATGGAGTTTTTTTTGCTCTTCTTGCCCAGGCTGGAGCGCAGTGTCGCTATCTGAGCTCACTGAAACCTCCACCTCCCAGATTCAAGCGATTCTCTTGCCTCAACCTCCCGAGTAGCTGAGATTACAGGCACGTGCCACCCCACCCAGCTAACCTTTGTATTTTTAGTAGACGGTTTTCACCGTGTTGGCCAGGCTGGTCTCGAATGCCTGACCTCAGATGATCAGTCCTCCTTGGCTTCCCAAATGCTGGGATTACATTACGTTGGTACCTGGCCATTGGGCTTGTTTACTATCCAATGCAGAAGGCAAGCGTGCCAGAAAGAAACCCTGTCCAAGCCACATGGGTCTGCAGCAGAGATGGTCTTCCACCTGCCTGAAACCCTCACCTGAGGAGAGAAGGGAGTTTGAGGACTTTCAAGAGTAGAGAAGAGACTACCAGAGCCCTGTTGAGGGTCTGAAAGAGACAACACAGCCGCTACAGCATGGAAAGACCTAGAACAAGGAACTGCACCTGCTTGCCGGGCCACCTCCAGCTGTCACAACGACAAGCAAAGGACCACATCTTTTGTCATGCATCTGTGAAAGAATATGTACAAGGGAAAGGTTTTAAGTCATTAAAAAAAAAGGGGAGTTGACTCTCCAAGTCTATCCTTGATTAGTTTGACCCACCATTCTCCCCTGCCCCTACTGCACAATTCTATACCAAGCTGATCTCCTCGCTCACAGAAATACGAGAGGGAGTCTTCACCATACAGCTATCTCTAAAGTTGTTTCACTGCTTCATATGAATTCAACTCATAACATTTGGATGCCTACTACTGTATTTGCCAAGCACTGTGAGAAGTGCTAGATATAGCAGTAAAAGAAGACGACTATCCAAGTTCTCAATGAACTCTGTCTACTGGAACGCATAACCTAAATGTACAGATTTGATGATGTTATCTTAAACAAATACACAGCTTTTGGGGCCACTGAGTGCTCAAGTGAATGATCTGAACCCCTCTTTCATAAAAACTTTTACTCCTCAGCTTGGACAACACCAGGGATCTGTCTCTACAAAAAATTTTTAAAAAGTAGCCAAGTGTGGTGGCCCACACCTGTGGTCCCAGCTACTTGGGAGGCTGAAGTATAAGGACAGCTTGAGCCCAAGAGGTTAAGGCTACAGGGACCATGATCATGCCACGGCACTCCAGCCTGGGTGACGGTGAGACCTTGTCTCAAAAAAAAACAAAATACACTTTCACTCCTTATTTACCCTCGAGTACTGATTTTCGAATGATGGATCACAAAACTAGCTTCTAGAGTAACAATTATTTTTGGAAAAATGGAATCGAATAAAAAAATTGAAAAGCAGCCCACATAGGTTAAATACTGTTAAGTAATTTTTATTCCAGATACATGTATATATCTACGGCTGCTTCATGATCAGAAAGTATTTGCTACTGCCAAGAAAGCATCCTTCTGCATCCATTCCAAGAGCATAACCTGCAACTAATGGAAATTAGCTTGGTTTCACGGCTTTAATTCAATTACCCCCTTAGAGCCATGACTGGACTTTCTGGAGGGAACAAATTATGTACCCTGATCATTTCAGCCAAGAAACACTCTCCCTGAGGCAAATCTAGGACCCTTTTCTTACTCACCTTATACTAACTTTCAACAGCAGGTTTGAGAGTACATGTAAACTCTTCGGTCCTATTTCAAACCATCTCACGGTTCACTCAGTCCTTTCTGTTTGTCTGCATGTAAATATCCAATGCCCAGGCCCATATTCAAATTTTAAGAGGAAAAACCTGGAGTATGGGCATGCCAGATAGCTCATACCTGTAGCTCTGGGAGGCCGAGGTGGGAGGAGTGATTTGAGCCCAGGAATTGGAGATCACCCTAAGCAATAAGGAGAGACTGTCTCAGGGGGGAAAAAAAGATTAGCCAGGCGTCGCGGCAAGCGCCTATAGTCCCACCTACTCGCGAGGCTGAGGCGGGAGGATCACTTGAGACCAGGAGTTCAAGGCTGCAATGAACCATGATTGTGCCACTGCACCCCAGCTTGGGCAAAAGAGTGAGATCCTGTCTCAAAAAAACAAATACACAACAAGAAATGGAAAGAGAGAGAGAAATCCAGGTTATGGCTGTGGAATGTAATACACGATACTAATAAGTAGCTTAAAATACTGGGTTTTGCCTCAGCTCCCATACCACCACCTGTATTGCTCGATTTTCAGATAATCAGGTTAGTATTTTTAGTTTTTTATATCCTATGACATTTCGCGTCCTACTGTCATTTTCATCCGGTTATGCACTTCTCAGGGACGCTGTGTGCTGCTGAGGTGTTCCAGGGAAAATGCTAACCTTGGCGCCTGCTGAATTTTCAACTGGCTGTGGGGTGCTCAGATTTTCCCCCGAGTTCCAGACCCAGGACATCCAGAAGCGGCGCCTGGCAGAGGAGCTCGGCGCTGCACCTTGGAAACAGCTGGGTCTGGGCAAACTCACACCACCTAATTTAATTCTCTGCCCTCTACGGGTTCCACCTGAGACGCTTATTCCTGAGGGAGAACAAGAACGGAAACGATTGAGACAAACCATTTGCAAGTAAGGCAATGGAGCCACAGGTGCCTCGAGGGTAAGGAGGCTGGAGCTGAGCTACCACATCTCGCCCAGGGCTCCACGTCCCAGTCTGCGACCGATTCACCGGTCTGGAAGCCCGTTTTCCCCGCCTCCCTTTAGCTTTGTGCCGCTTGGGGCGCCCGTTCGGATTCCAAATGAGGACTGGGGAGCCGCCCACCAAGGGTCGCCCACGGTGGGGCGGGGGCTCCCATGTGCTGCTCCCAAAGCCCACTCGCAGGATGCCCGCCCTGATGCGCAGGGCCAGCCCCGGGAGCCCCGGCCCCCGGTCCCCGCAGGCCCGACCCGAGCCCGCTGGGGACCCGGCAAGCCAGCGCGTGGCTCCCAGCAGGCCGGGCGTCGGCGGCGGGGGCCGCTAAGGGTCACTCCGGGTCCCTCCCCGACACAGGCCGCGCAGAGAGTGCGAGGCGAGCCCCGGGCCCGCGCCTCCCGAGCACCTACCTTCCAGGTGCCCAGCCCGAGGATGGGCATCTTGGCGCCGTTGTTGAGCACGAGGTGGCTGGCCATTGCTGCTGCGCTCCCCAGACCCCCGACCGGAACCTTCGGGCCGCGGCGGCGGCGGCGCGTACCTTTAAATAGCCTGTGCGCCTGGAAGAAAGGGCGCCTGCGATTGGTGCTCCGCTGCGCGACGGAGCCTTCTGATTGGTCGTGCCGGAGGGGCCGTCGCAGTCTTCCCCGGGGGTCGGTGGGGATGCTTCTTCCGCCAGGTCCTAGCGGCACCGGATTCTTTCTGACCCAACCGTTCGCCCGCGCCCCGCATGGCAGAAAAGAGTTTGCCAGCTCCTGTATCTCGCGGAAAAGCGAATGCTTTAGCAAAAATAACAGGCATCCTATAAATACATAGACTGGAAAGAAGTTTTGGTTTTATTTAAGAGCCCAGAAGAATACCTTTGTCTATTGTCCAACCCCAGTTTGATGCTCTTTGGGAATCTGACGAATACCCTTTCCTTAATGGATGTGAATCATACTGACTACACGTGTAGTTTACCGCACTTTGTTCTTAGACAAAGGCGTATGCCAGAAAAATGGCTTGCAATCTTTTTGCAAAGCACCTTCACAAAATACGGGTTTGCCGAGCCTTTTTGTAGCCTCCTAGAGCTGTCTCTGCACCCCACTCTAGGTGTTAGCTGTGTCTGTGCATACCGGTTGTGGTTCAGCAAGCCTTCCATCAAAAGCCAGCCTCCTTTGATGCTCTCGAGGTTAGAAAGCCTTGATTAGCTTGATCCAGAACACTCAGAAGAATTTGGAAAGTAAGACTCTATGCAGAATCAGTAAGACAAATTCCATCAATCTTTAGAAAGTGAGACTCTATCAAAGCAGTAGGTTCCAGTACAGTAACTTAGCGAAACTCTCTAGAAGAAGAAAAGTGAATAGGCAGAAGCCCACAGAAGAAAAAGTTAACTCTAATATTGTAGCTTCCGGTATTTCAAATTAGAACGCACAAAATAATAAATTGATCTGTCCTAATTGGTAGATAGAAAAACACATTTTTCCAAGATAGCCTAAGAAAAGTCACTTGAAGAGCCTTGAAGACAATTTTGTTTTCTTTCCAACAACCTCTCTTCATCATACTCTGCCTCACCCCAACTGCTCTTTCTGCTCCATCACCCTCCAGTCTTTCCCCTAATTATGCAAGACTGGGAATTCCATCTGCCTGGTAATGACTCAAGCACTAGGCCTCTCTAAACTCTATGCTGGTGATTTTCCATTTAGTTCTTTCTTTAAAAGTGCCCCCTCCTGGAAAAATTTATACAGAACAGACCAGTCCAGATATTTTTCCATGTAACTTTTGTAAAACTTGTTGCTACTGGGCAAATTCTGATGCCATTTGTCCCCAAGTAATAGAATTTGAACTTGAACCTCAAGCTGGGAACTTGCTTTGCGTAAAACAGCCACTCTTCCTCCATGAGAATCCTCTTGACTTGGAGGTTGCTCTGCCAGTTGAGCTTCCTGGGTCCAAATTCCAAGAGCTAATCCTTCATAAAAATAATACACCTTGAGTGTATTATTTTGGTACACACAGAAGGGTCATCTGTTAGGGACATGGAGTCAATATCAGAGGTTTTGCTGTTGTTTTGATAATAATTGAATATAAAGCTTGATTGCATGAAGGTATAACTATGTCTAAACCTGGAGTGATACCTATAGTCCCAGCTTCTCAGGAGGCTGAGGAGGGATGATTGCTTGAGCCCAGGAGTTAGAGACCAGCCTGGACAACATAGCAAGACCCTGTCTCTAAAATAAACAAATTAACCCAGAATATTTTGCCTGGGCCATGCAAATTTGAAAAGTCGTATCAGTGGAATTTCTATAGCAACAATATCACTCTAGTTGGGACATGCTATTGTGATAGCCCCCTAACATTCCCAATGCCTCTGTAATCTTTGTACAATATACACATACTAAAATTTTTGATCTCAAGATTTTTGATCTCTTCTTTTGATAAGTATACATATCAAAATTTTGTTTAAAAAAGAAAAACAAAAACCCGTCAATGGAATCCTCCATAGAAACACTCTAGTAATTGGAATCTTAACATGCTCTGAACCAGTAATCTCCCTTCATGGGAATTATTTCCCAAGGAAATAATTTAAAAGGAACACACACACACACACACACACACACACACACACACACACGGTATAGGGCAGGGCTGGGACCAGGGTGAGGAAAATGAGGTACACGGGTGCAAATTTTTATGCCAGAAGGTAGGAGCTTCCTTACATTTACGTCCTTGGCACTTGCCTCCCCTTAGTCCCAGGCACACAGATATATACACATGTATGCTGGTGATTTTCCATTTAGTGCCTTCTTTAAAAGTGCCCCCTCCTGGAAAAATTTATACAGAACAGACTAGCCCAGATGTGTATGTATGTATGGACGTATTTTTTAAAGTTATATATACATAAAGTAAAACTGTAAATATCCAGCAACAGCAAGAGATAAGGTGTAGCCATCAAAGGTAAAGATGATAAAAACACAGAGAAAAATGTGTATGAGGTAACGTTAAGGTGAAAGTGAAAGTAGAAAACAAAGACATATAACTATGACATGATGCTAAGAAGGAAAATACAACATAGAACATTTGGGAAAAGTTAGGAAAAAGCCAGAGGAAATGGGGAATACTCTTTGTCAGATTATTTCCTTAATGAACATATTTTAAATTAAAAGACAGTCTCTTGTAAACTGTCCATTTCCCATAGGATAAAACTTTAACTCCTGACCCTTGCATTTAAGGTCCTGAGAAACCCAGTACGATTCTGAATATACAAAAACAAAACAAAACAAAACAAAACAAAAAACCCAAAAAACAAAAAAAACACCCAATTGTATATTTAAAAGGGTAAATAGGCCAGGCGCGGTGGCTCATACCTGTAATTCCAGCACTTTGGGAGGCTGAAGTGGGCAGAGGTCGGGAGTTCAAGACCAGCCTGAGCAATATGGAGAAACCCCATGTCTAAAAACAAAAAATTAGCTGGGCATGGTGGTGCATGCCTGTAATTCCAGCTACTTGGGAGGCTAAGGCAGGAGAATTGCTTGAACCCAAGAGGCAGAGGTTGCAATGAGCCGAGATTGCTCCATTGCACTCCAGCCTGGGTAACAAGAGCGAAGCTCCATCTCAAAAAAAAAAAAAAAAAAAGGTGGGGGGTGGGGGAGGGGGTAAATCATATGGTATGGTATACAACTTGTACCTCAGTAAAGTTGCTATAAACAAACAAAGGTTACATGCTACATGTCCAACACAGGCTGGTAGAGCTTAGGGTGTCAGCAGGCTCTGCTTCACGTTGTCACTCAAGAACTCAAAGTATGGAGGTCCCACCACATTGTTTCCCTGCTGTCACAACCCAAGGTTCCAGGGTTTGGCTCAGGAAAGCAAAAGAGCACCTATGAGTTTCAAATGAGCAATCAATTGCTCAGACCTGGGAGTGGCACACATCACTTCTACCTATCATTCTTTGACCAGATCTGGTGATCTTCAATGAAATGGGGAAGTGTCATCTTCCTGTGTGCCAGAAAACAGAAGTGAAAGGGTATGGTAAGCACCAGAAGTCTCTTCTGCAATGATAAACCATGGCTCAGTCTTTATTATGGTTCAGACACTGTTTCATGGTTCAGCACATGACATATGTTATATGAAGGTGCTGCTCCTGCTTATATATCTATCTACTGAGCTTTGTATATGCCCAGGACCATTCTATGAGCATTATGTATATTAGTTCATTTAACCTTCATAACCACCCCTTTCAGTGGATACTGTTATCAATCCATGTTACATATGAAGACACAGAGATGTAGAGAAGTGAGAAAAATTGCTAAGATCTCACATGAAGTAAATGTTAGGGTCAATATTTAAACCTATGAATTCAACTATTGCACCCAAACTCATTGACCACTACCAGTAGCTTTGAAATTTTTAAACTGTGACTCACATTAAGAATTTTGGAATGACTGACGTCAGGAAGAAGGCTGACTAGAAGTGCCTAGTTCTTGTCCCTGCCATAAGAAAGGACCAAGACAGTGAATAAACTGCTAAGATTTGACTGAAATTATGAAAAGAGAGCATTAAAGTGAATTGGGGGAGTAGACGGGAACGTTCAGTGATTGGAAGGCCAAGAGAGTAGCGTGGAGGCACATGGCCTCTGCAGCCTCCTCTTGCCTGCCACAATTGCATCAGCCCAGAGACAGCAGGGAAGTCCCCTAGCAGGGAAATGTTAAAAGAACCCCACCAGTCTCCCTTGCCACTGTAAATGACTCCAGTCCTCATTACAAAAGAATCCCACAGTCCACGGAAGCCCTGTGCCCAGTATGAAGAGCTTCTGGGAATCCATATAGCTGTATCACTCAAGATTAGGAGCACAGGGTGCATACTCCCCTTTCCCCTCGTGAGCCAAGCTGCTACAGCATGGCACTGTCTTGAGATCAGAGCTACTTCTGGACTATGCCTTGCTCTGGGGCTCATAGCTATTGCACTTCTCCAGCAATGGGGCTCCGTCTTCATTCCACCAAGCCCGCATGTGGCCCAACTGCACAGATGCTGAGCCCAAGATTGGCTATGATTCTGGTCCTGCACCACAGTGAAACCTACTCCCATCATCTGTAATACAGCTGGAGGAACAGTCTAACAGTCTCACGTAGGGTGAACCTACCTTTAAGCCAGCCAAATGACTATGTGTCCTTCCCTAAGCAGGAGAGGTCTCTAACTCATCAAACAACTGACATGCCCCCAGGCCAGTAGAGTGGCTATAGGCAGATATACAGGGCCTGAAAAACAGGCCTGTAGCAACTACTCCCTCCATAAGCACACCTTTGCATTGCCTCGCATTCACAACCAGGGCTTGGAGAAAATTGAGAAGCTGACTGAGCAGCTGTGTGAAGCCCACACGGGTGGCTGAATGCCACAACTCCAGCAACTTCCACCCAAAAATATTACAGCCAGTAAATCTATATTTTGGAAATGAAGGAGAAAAAAAATATTTCACAGGCAAGCAAAAATTAAGGGAATTCCTCTGGTCCTGCACACCAGTGAAACCAATCCCCACTGTCTGCTGTTACAGTTGGAGGAAGAATTTGGAAGTTTTGCCTGAGGAGAACCTATCCTTAATTCAGCCGGCTACACCACTGCACATCCTCACCCTCTCCCAAGTGGGAGAGGTCTTTGATCCACCTGACAGCTGACATGCCACTGGGCCCACAGAGCTGCTATGTGCCTATGCCCAGGGCTAAAGACAGAGCAGTAGCATAGGACCACACCCCTACCATGGACATGTTCCT